AGAGAGAGAGAGAGAATACTGTTTGTGGCAGATACCAGATCTCCAGTGACAGTGCATCTTTGAGCTGTGAATGTTTCATAATTATACAACAGTCATGCCTCACTGTCAATTGGAAGATAAGCCTTATCTCCACAAACCATCAACTTTTTCGGAACTACACAACAAACAGCCTTACAACATTTCGATTTTTTTCAGTGGGTTCCTTACTTCTTGCACATTTTTAAACACGAATATATCAAATAAATATACAAATATATATATATATATATATATGTCATAAATGCTGTTCAACACACATGCCTGACACCCATCAATGAGCTGTATTGGACCCTGCTTTTGATTTACTAACTTTTGTGGCAGCAGGAGATCATAACTTTTACACTCAGAAAACACATTTTTAAACAACTTCTCCACTGTCCCACCTGCAATGTCCCACAGCTGAAGTCGGACAGTCTCAGAGTCCCAGTTCAACACCTTTAGGGCGAAGTCCACTCCGATGGTGGCCCGGTAGTTGGTGGAGTAGGTCTGGTGGATGTACCGCCTGATGATGGAGGTCTTCCCGACCCCCAGGTCTCCGATAACCAGCACTTTGTACAGGTGCTCTTTTCGGATATTCTGCATGCCGTTGGTATGTGAAGTGTGATTGGTCATTCCACCTGTCGGATCTCGGACGCAGGAGCTTTCAGCGACTCGGGCTCAGCGTTGAGAGAGAGTTAGAGGCTTCGTCCCCCTGATCCCGTGTGTCTCCCTCTTTGTAACGGGTAAAGGGACCGCCCTTCTTGTAAGGAAGTGTGTGATCTGCTCAGGGGCAGTGCTTGGGAACTTGTGACCTCGCCTCGTCACCCTAGGGAGACGCGCAATGCAGGCACAATAGTTCCTGTTAATGTGAGTCTGTGAGTCTCCAGAGTAAAACACTGCCACGTTATGTAGCCTAACTGTCAGTTATGCAAAATTAAGATGCGATGGCGTGCAGGAGAAGGCACTGGCCCTGTCCTTTTATTATACTGTAAAAAGGATCATTTTAAATGCTGAACCAAAACAGATTGTATGTTTACGCGCAGCTCAAAAATGCTGTCATATTGCAATTAAGGTAGTAATGTCTGCTGGCCATGCCATGTGCAAACTATACTCACAGTATAAGAGATAGAGAGCTCCCATTTTAGCATTACTGTAAAAATAATGCCTTAAATCATAGTTGTATTGTCATGTTGTCACAAATATACACACAAGCCACATTATAACAAAAATAGTTGGTTTAAGGTTGAATACTTCTGGCAAACTGAGAGATAATGTTAGTGGTGCATCTTCAGGTATTCTTCAGATTATAATCCATAGAATGTATGTATTCAGTATAAACAACTAATCCTAATCAGTGATAGCCTACTATTCTCTGATTTCGGCCATAAGTGGACCATGCAAACATATTCACTTAAACCAATTTAACCAAAAACAGGCAGAGAAGACTTTTTGTGCCAACCTATATTAAAGTCTAAGTGAGGCCTGTTGCAAGAAGCATGTTTATTAAGATATCAGGATAACTTTTCCAAGCGTGGTATTACTGGTATTACTCAGCAAAGTTCTAGTCTCAGCAGACCACAGACCTGGTAATATCTGCCATATCTGCTAACTGCATCACAGAGCACTGCATTTTAGAGCATTCACACAGACAGACAGATGCAAAGAAGATGGCAATCTCTGCACTCAATCTGTAGCTTGATTTACATATTCAGCTCTGTTTGGCCACTTGTGAACTGTACTCTCTGGGGGACTCAACACAAGGGCTATTATGTCATAGGAGGGGTTGCTCACAGAGCTCTACAGGACATCCCACAGTGACAACAGACATCCCGCTGCTTTCTTTTCTCTCTTGTAGCGTCACATGTGGATGTGGGGTTTCACTGATCCCTTTGTGTCCTCTGACATAGTCAACACCACTGCTGGGCAGAAAGTAGTAGAGGCAATAATGCTGAACTGGTTGTTTTCTGTTGCCTTTATTAACACATATATGTATGCCAAGTTAGAGATGACTAAGGCTGTG